AATATTATGCAGCCTTGCCATTGCCTTTATGTCTAAGGTGGAAGCACCAGTGACCGATCTCGACCGTTACTCTACTGTAAATATATAGACGACTGCTTGGTCATTTGTTCAACACAAGAGGAAATTGACAGATGTTTCGAGTTGTTGAGCGAACAGTCAGAGTATATTAAATTCACCAGAGAAAAAACAAAAAAAACTGGCTTCCATTTCTGAACGTGCGAGTTAACTTGTCAGAAAGTGGCTACATTACGAATGTGGGACCGAAAGCCAAGTAGTAAAACATCTTGGTTCACTACCTCTCCTCTCACCCCTCTCACACAAAAAGAGCGCTTGTGAGAAACATGTTTCGAACAGCAACCAACGTGTGCACGGGAAGAGAGCAGAGAGAGGAGTCCCGGAACTTGGCACGTCAAATAGCCATTTCTAATGGCTATGAAACTTTAGTTTCTCGGTGTAGACGTAGAGAAAAAACCACATCCTTAAACGATAATTCTAGTGAGAATAAGGTCCCGCTTCACCTGCACTTTATTTTCGAAGAAATAACTGCAACTATAAAACGCTCTTTATGAAAGGCCGATCTAGAGAATTCGATAACAGTAACTGAAATACTATTGGGCATTCTAAGAGGCCAGCTAGCTCGTAACCGCTTATATGACCGTCTTTATAAAACGAAAAATTGCATTATTTCTCCCACCAATACCGACGGTGGTGGCCTCTTAGAATGAATGAGTTCGGGTACGGTGTACTTAATCTGTTGTAAAGCATGTTGGGACAAATACATTTGGTGGAACGGGTAGACCACTCTACGTCAGTTTAAAGGACCACATAGTCGATAAATTTAAATTGAATTCAAACACTCCACTAGGCGCACTTAGATCAAAGAAACACAAGGGAGAAGATTTCTAAGTAAAATTCACTACCTTCACACAGCAATCCTAGTCATCAGCGCGTAAAGCTCTTGAAGGGTTTTGGACTGATTCCAAAAGTCCAAGAACGAACCGTGAGAAGTGCCTTGTAATCACAGGTGGCCTCACACCATACCTCAGACTGATTCTGTGGCCTAACCCAGGCATATTCCTCGCCCATGTAGGATTCCGTGCGGTTGATCTCCAACAATTAAGTGGAAGACTTACAACGAATGTGGGTGTTTAGCGAGGGCTGTCCATTATACGAATGAGAATTTATGTATTAAGTCTTATCTGCTGAGGTTAGAGAGCCTTTGGTTGAGTAGATTGCATATTAATTTGAGCTTTCCAGACTCTGAAAAGGCAAAACTGCCGAAACATCAGCTGTTCTGTGCTAATAAATGCTATGATACCAACCTCTCGTTTGCCCATCGAAAGAAAAACGCTGAACTACAAACAGAGTTATAAAGCAGCTGTGGTGAATGAACAGGTAGCGCCCGAGTTGCATTCTATGCTACATATGCATAGATGTGGGAGAGTGGGCAAAGTGGGCGAAGTGCATTGTATTGTATTCTGTGCACTGCTTTTCAGTGCTTCATTTAGCATCATATAGCTTCTTCACAGGATTTTTGTGCTCGATCGATAATTGGCCCAACACAGATGCTATATTAGACGTGATTCTTTAAAACCTNTTGCATATTAATTTGAGCTTTCCAGACTCTGAAAAGGCAAAACTGCCGAAACATCAGCTGTTCTGTGCTAATAAATGCTATGATACCAACCTCTTGTTTGCGCATCGAAAGAAAAACGCTGAACTACAAGCAGAGTTATAAAGCAGTTGTGGTGAATGAACAGGTAGCGCCCGAGTTGCATTCTATGCTACATATGCATAGATGTGGGAGAGTGGGCAAAGTGGGAGAAGTGCATTGTATTGTATTCTGTGCACTACTTTTCAGTGCTTCATTTAGCATCATATAGCTTCTTCACAGGATTTTTGTGCTCGATCGATAATTGGCCCAACACAGATGCTATATTAGACGTGATTCTTTAAAACCTGTTTCCTACACTTAATATTTTAATATTCTACAAAGACCTTTTCGGCAGTGCTCTTCGAGTAGCAGTTTAGCTGCTAATTGACTGACTATCATTTGTGATATGATGAATCTTATGGAATGTGTGGTTATAAAAATGTCGAACTAGATAGAACGTACATTACAAAATATTTACAAATGCAATGCTGAAAGCATTGTGGTTGTGAACCAAACAAACAACGCAGCATATCCCTCAAGCTATAGAGTCGTCTATAATTTTCCATCGTTCCCAACGCCTGATGCGCTCTTTCATTTATTTCCCTATCCCGCGTTGGAACGGAGGTATAAAATTGTCGAGAGTGAAGTAGATCACTGCGACAACACCAATTCATCAACGTCAGGTTTATCTCGGAAATCACCGGATACAATTTGTTTTTGGGAGTCGGAAATCGTTTTCACAAAGTCTTTTCCACATAGTGCTTCAGTGTAGAACAAATCAAATGAGATAGAAAAAATGAAACAAAGTTTGTAAAACACTGGCGAAGCCGCCGTACTGAAATCAAAAACTCTTAAACACAAAGAACTAAACAAACCCTGGCCTGTTCTTGTTCTTTGAGCATTTGTTGACGTTGTTCGAGTGCACGTTTCTCTTGTTCCGTTTTTTCCACCTGCGATACCTCTGTGACAACTGTCTCATTCGCTAGAAATATTAAGGAATAGTAAAGTAAAAAAAAATGCGATTGATAAAGATTTCTCCTGTCAAATGTTTCCAGACGCTTAATCTCACTGGTGCCATCATGATTCCATTCCAATAGGCTGCTCGTAATGGAAATTCTGAATACTGGTGAAGGATTTTTGATGTCAGATAGAGTTCTGAGGCTTTCAGCAGTAAGTGCAGCACCGATTCTCTGTGACTGGTGGTGAACACGAATAGGTCTGTCCTTTTCACAAACAAATGACCGACTAGGAGAGCGGTGTGTCTTTGTCATATGCTTCGGCATATAAACGCTTTCCATTAATTTTAGCTAACAATAAGTTAGCGCTTCCTTCTTGAGCAGACACAATCGTGTTAGTATAAAACTTCTTCAAAAAGTACAAAGAGATACGTGTTGATTTGTCATAGCGAGGTTAGTGGAAAGTCGGTTTTCGAAATATTGTTACGCTCTGTGCTAGCTTCTGCTAGGTGCTGGGCAATCACCGTGAGCAACAACCGTTCAATGTAGAGGAGCATCGCCGGGTGATATTGTCTCATTCGAGCGGTACTCCATGAAGAAGGTCCGATTGGACATGATGATGAAAATCCCACTTCGAGATCGCGAGAGACTGTGGACATGGACTTGGATCATCTGAGGAGGACGAAGAAGACGGAATATTAGCCGAAAAAAAAACTATATAACAACCCTATGTAAGCTAAACATTGAGAGAGATAAAATTGTTTGTTAGACATTGCCAACGTCTCATCGGTTTCCCTTCTGGGGAAGGGTTCTCCCCTATATATCTTCTTTCTACTCAATAATGGAAGCCAGCCGAACAGAGTATTACTTACGTTGTCAGCCAGTTCTGTAGAAAAAATTCTATATTAAGAATTTCGTGTCTTCTCAAGAAGAAAATACCTTGACATGAAAAAGTAGCGGGTAGTGAACAAAAGCGTTTTTTTAACGCAACCCGTCTTTACGTCTACTATGCGGATCCCAAAACTTCTCACATTCGATTCATTTCCTCGCATCCATTATCCAGTAAGGTCTTCCAACTTTTTGCGCTTGAGTTTGGCTACTACTTGAGAACCTTGTTCTTGTCTTGTTATTTTGTTTTCTACTTCGTTTTTCGTTTTGATTGTTTTGTTTTTTGCTTTTTGTTCACCCTTTTGAAAACCACATGTGCAGTCCAACGGCAAAGTTCTGAGGAAGGCGAAAGATCCCAAATGTCATAATTGTTGAAAAAGAACAGCAAGAACAATAAAAACATCTATAACTAAACTCGCTTCGACTGAAAAAGGCTAGCTCGTAGGATCATATATGAGGAAGAAAGTCGACCTTTCGATACCATGCCATGAAGAAAAAAAAAGTTAAGGAAAGCTCTTAGGATTGATCAATCCCTATCCAGCCATGATGATAAAAGATAGAAAAAAAGCTCTTAGCGTCTTTCTATCCCTGAGGGATGCACTATGCAATCGACTTCATTAAGCATCGTTTGGAGGTGAATAAACGGATAGCTGGCCTTTACGATGACTCGCGGTGGTCTACCGATGTGTCGAGCCAGTGCTGTTATCATACCAGACAAGTCTGCTACCAATCTACCGAACCCTGAGAGATAGAGGGCTTGGTGGGCCTTGGGCCCGGGGAACGATCCCGTGTATGTTACGAGGCACCTCTGACCACTGCACCACACTCACCTCTTTGAATAAATAATAGGCAGTAAATGAAAGGGTATACATTGCTTGAATAGTGTTTTTCCACCTTGTTTCTGATCGGCCATTGCTCGTATATCATTCAACACTGCCGCTTTGATCTCAGTTGGATTGGCTGCGACGCGAAACATTGAAGTACGATGAGGCAGCACCACCTTAGATTAACCATGTAAAATTTGAAGCATGTTGAAAAGTATTTAGTTCAAAAATTATTCGCGAAACCAAAAGCTTGAAAGGAAAAGAAATACGAAACAACATACTTCTTCGTCTGACTCCTCTTCTTCCGTATATCATTCAACACTGCCGCTTTGATCTCAGTTGGATTGGCTGCGACGCGAAACATTGAAGTACGTTGAGGCAGCACCACCTTAGATTAACCATGTAAAATTTGAAGCATGTTGAAAAGTATTTAGTTCAAAAATTATTCACGAAACCAAAAGCTTGAAAGGAAAAAAAATACGAAACAACATACTTCTTCGTCTGACTCCTCTTCTTCCTCTGATGAGGATCCATTGCACTTATCATATACTGTAATAGGAATGCGTAGGAAATTTTTCGACAAAAAAGCGTTAGGAATTGGTAAGTGGTAGTTAAAATAAGATTTGACTATTTAGAATTTTCACAATCGATATTTTAATATTTTCGAGCAATTTCCTTATTTTGTTTTGTAAGAGGTCTGGCAATATAAATATGCAAAAAGCCTTTTATAATTTTATTTTATTTGACCCGTCTTCACGTTTAGTGTGCTGATCCCAGCGCTTCTCACATTCGATTCGTTTCCTCGCACCCATTTACCTCGAACATCCTCCAACTTTTACGTGTGGCTTCGGCTGCTGCTTAAGGATTTCCATTTCATCTTAAATGTCGTAGAATGCTGGTTGAGCAATTCCCCTGGAGTCCTAAGATAGCCGAACTGGGGCGTTCCCAATTGGATTACAGAGAGTCATTTCTTTTCCAGACAAGTCTGGTATCAATTTCGCGACCGCGGAGGGATGAGAGGCTTGGTCGGCCTGCAGCGAAATCGAACTAGCACAATTCTCGTGATGGTGGACATCACTATCACTGTGCTATACACCCCTTTTATGATTTATACACCATAAAGTAGTAGCTGGAAAACAAAAGTAACAAAAAATTCCACTCTTTTCCAAACCTCGGTAATTTGAATATGTTTGGGCTTCGGCATCGATAAGATCACTATAGGGCTTCTGGCAACTATTTTAATGAAGATGCTGGTATTCGGCACCGTAATAGTCACAATTTGTAGTTTCATTTTTTTTTNCGTAGAATGCTGGTTGAGCAATTCCCCTGGAGTCCTAAGATAGCCGAACTGGGGCGTTCCCAATTGGATTACAGAGAATCATTTCTTTTCCAGACAAGTCTGGTATCAATTTCGCGACCTCGGAGGGGTGAGAGGCTTGGTCGGTCTGCAGCGAAATCGAACTAGCACAATTCTCGTGATCGTGGACATCACTATCACTGCGCTATACACCTCCTTTTATGATTTATACACCATAAAGTAGTAACTGGGAAACAAAAGTAACAAAAAATTCCACTCTTTTCCAGACCTCGGTAATTTGAATATGTTTGGGCTTCGGCATCGATAAGATCACTATAGGGCTTCTGGCAACTATTTTAATGAGGATGCTGGTATTCGGCACCGTAATAGTCACAATTTGTAGTTTCATTTTTTTTTTGGAGTTGAACAGCGATGGACAGTAGGGAATCATCCACTGGCAGGGTATTTAGAGCCATGAAGGAGTTCACCATCTCCACCTTGAAATCCAGCTATAATTGGATCTAAACCACCTCAAAAATGGAGACCAGAGAGCTGCTGGCAGTTACTTATAATGTGATTCCTATCCCTTGTATAACCACGATAAACAACTAGGAAAAATGAAGTTTTACAGGTGCTCCGCATAAATAGTTAGCAATGATTAACGAGATCGGAGGTAATGTGGGTGATCTTGGAAAACTCTTCGAGAACTTTATCGTCGATTTAAGCTAATGTGAAAAAATTAAAAGCATCTGATAACAAAAAAGAAAAAAAAAGAAAAAAGCAGGACGAAAGAAACAAATTTAGCAATTAGGAAAAATGTCACTTTGAGCTACAACAAGGAGAAACGCTATATTTGGTGATTGTTTAGAAAAAGCACCAATGAAAATTCAGTTTTAATTTTGATCTCAGAAAAAAGATTGCTTTGAAGAGACGTTTTGTGTGGAATACATAAATATTTACAAAAAATGAGATTGAAGTTTGTAGGTGGGTGAAAACAAAACGCTTTGTCTCACATCCAAATGACAAAGTGGCTTGGATAGGCCGTTCGATTACAACACATTCAGCAGTGAGGCCAAGCATATTGCATGGAATTACACTATGTTTTTTCATTTCCCATCATCTTCAAGAAAAGTCAATCACGGTAACGAATCGTGGACCAAATGATTTATAATCCATACAACCGGAAAGAGAAACTAAGCATGGCGTCAAGAAAAACAAGAATTTACATTTGTTCCCTCAGAAATTTTTATTCTTTTCAATTATCCCTCAGAAATAGCTCGTTAGTCTTTTTGCTCAATGCACGNGTGAGGCCAAGCATATTGCATGCAATTACACTATGTTTTTTCATTTCCCATCATCTTCAAGAAAAGTCAATGACGGTAACGAATCGTGAACCAAATGATTTATAATCCATACAACCGGAAAGAGAAACTAAGCATGGCGTCAAGGAAAACAAGAATTTACATTTGTTCCCTCAGAAATTTTTATTCTTTTCAATTATCCCTCAGAAATAGCTCGTTAGTCTTTTTGCTCAATGCACGCTAAACCAATCGTCATTAGTTTAATGGCTTTTTTCTGATCTCTCTCATCATAGTCATTATTATGAATAAAGTGCGTGTGGCGCAGTGGATAAGATGCCCTACAGTATACACCAGATCGGTCTTTCTTCCGATCCTCTACCTAGTGAGCAGCAATCTTTCCAATCCCTTAATATCGGCAGATTGGTAACGAAAAATTTCTGGGAGCATAGCAGCATTGACATGATACACAGGCAGAATTTTGCATTGTATGAGCGAAATTGCATTTGCTGCGAATTGAATCGAACGCATGTGTGTTCGTGAGGTATTGATCAACGCAGGACGCTTTTGGCTTTGCCATCGTAAATAAAATGTTATTTTAGATATAATATAGTTAGAAAAAAATAAAAGGATAAACCTCTTGATTAGTCCCTAATAGACGCGCCATGCATTCTACTTCATCGAGCATCGTTAGAGGTAATTAATGCATGTCTGGCCTATAAATTGGTTCGCGGTGGTCTACCGATGTGTCGAGCCAGTGCTGCTATCCTCCGAGATAGGCCTGATACCGATTTGCCGACTTGGAGGGTTTGGTGAACCTGCGACGTGGTGTCGATCCTATGTGTATCGCAGAGCGTCCCTAACCACTCCGTTACACGCGCTTGTATAGTATAGTTATAGAAGTGTTAACATGGCACGATACAAGCGCTCAAAAGCATTTTAAGCAACCATTCCGTTGAGAACTCTACAACTTTTTAATACCATTTTTAACTACAGTTCTTGCGACGGATTTTTTATAGCGAGCGCCGCCGCCTATAGTCATAAGGTGATGTGGATAAAGATTTAAGCCAGAAGATGATCACGTAAATGTCCTGAGCAGCAGGAGGAGTGCATGGATATATCCCCTACATGTTCACCGCACTTAATTGACTTATACTTCTTATAAACATGCATTCATAGTATACTTCATAAATAATTCCGTGTATACAAAGTACGCGGGAAGGCTCAAAAGTAACTGCGGCCAAATGACCAAGATAAACGTGGGAGATATATTCCGATGGATCTCTTTATTCCAAAACGAATAAGTCTCACTATATAACAGGACCCAGGAAGTTCCGCTAGAGAACAAATGCGGTTTATGCTGATGTCTCCTTTAGCTGGCCAATCACGAAGTGCATTACCAGTGAGGTTGATCATACACAAGAACTCCTAATGGTCTCGGTTTTACAAAGTTCTATGCCATTGCTACACTCAGTTCTTATGTGAAAGCATAGCAACAACATCGTTCTGTGTATGTTGTCCTAAAAATCGTCTTTTCGTTTGTTCAGTACTATGGTAGGTAATCAGTACCGTTCATTTTAAGCCTTTTTAGCATGGAATGGAATGAAGATAGGAAGAGAGAATGAAGAAGGAAGTGCACGACTAAAGCTCACATAAAAATATGTCTGAACGTGTTAAAAGCGAAAAATGAAAAGTTCGATGTTTCAGTACGAATGCCGAAACTCTAAACAAATTCGTCTATAAAGACCACCAAGAATGGCTTTGATAGAAAGTTTATTTGTTACGTGAAAAAAGAACAAGAAAATCTTGAGAAAACAAATTTTGCTGCAGTAAGCTTCAGGAGGACTCATGGTTAAGTAGGAAATCGCATGCGATCATCACATACCTGACTCCGGCATCGCCTCCCGATTGAATGGGCTGCTATCGGATCAGTCAGCTGTTCGTGATTGAAGCTGTACGACGACGATGGCGGCGGCAGCGGTGGCGGAGGCATGATGGTCCAACCCACGCGCATCGGCTGACTAGCCGATCTTCTTTTCAAAAGCGTCCACACTAAGGTTATTCACTTGCAACATTTTCTACAACATCTTTGACACAATGACAAAGGTCTTACCAATCGCTTTGAACNCTAAACAAATTCGTCTATAAAGACCACCAAGAATGGCTTTGATAGAAAGTTTATTTGTTAGGTGAAAAAAGAACAAGAAAATCTTGAGAAAACAAATTTTGCTGCAGTAAGCTTCAGGAGGACTCATGGTTAAGTACGAAATCGCATGCGATCATCACATACCTGACTCCGGCATCGCCTCCCGATTGAATGGGCTGCTATCGGGTCAGTCAGCTGTTCGTGATTGAAGCTGTACGACGACGATGGCGGCGGCAGCGGTGGCGGAGGCATGATGGTCCAACCCACGCGCATCGGCTGACTAGCCGATCCGCTTCGACGTTCTACAATTCAGAAACAAAATTTCTTTTCAAAAGCGTCCACACTAAGGTTATTCACTTGCAACATTTTCTACAACATCTTTGACACAATGACAAAGGTCTTACCAATCGCTTTGAACAGCTTCATCGCTAATGTGCCAATGGATCTATACGTCGACGCGAGTGTTAACCGGGATGATTGTCATCTAGAAGTGTTCTTCGTTATACTTTTCAGAAAATACCTATCTAGTGAGGATATTTTATCGAGCGGTGCTACATTCCACTGGATTCGATACGGTACGACGACTACGAAGACCCACATTGGGAGAACAAACGTCTGTAGATGATCGACAAGAGTCATAGCCAATGTGAAGAATGTGAAGGTGTCGAAACATTAACCGAATAGAGATTTTGATAGTAACCACGTGTCAGCCCAAGAATGAGTTATTTTTCCCAGACTTATTTGTTTCTTTCGTTTCAGGAAACTTCTCTCGTTTCCTTGTGCTCACATTAAGACGTCAGTGGATTGAGGTGATAAACTTCTCTGCCATGCCACTGGCAAATTGACTCATGTCAATGGTGCACATGTTCCGTGGGTGTTATAGCAGGTTGTGTGTATCAATCGCTTAAACGCCTACAATTAAATAGCTGACAAACCTTGAAAACAATTAGGAGTTGTTTCTAAAAAATAGTCTTCGTATTACACCAAAAGAGCCCTGCAGGCTGACCATGGATAGAAACAGTACAAAAAAGCGCCTCATGGTAAAAAAAAAAGATTAGCGCCATCCGTACCCATCGAACGACCGGCAGCCATTGGAAGAATTCGAAATCACAACAGAAACGAATAGAGGTCTTACTCTGGTGTCAGTTGAGCCCATTTTTGGATCAGTGAGAGCAAGGTTCAAACCAAACGGTTTNTTTCCCAGACTTATTTGTTTCTTTCGTTTCAGGAAACTTCTCTCGTTTCCTTGTGCTCACATTAAGACGTCAGTGGATTGAGGTGATAAACTCTCTGCCATGCCACTGGCAAATTGACTCATGTCAATGGTGCACATGGTCCGTGGGTGTTATAGCAGGTTGTGTGTATCAATCGCTTAAACGCCTACAATCAAATAGCTGACAAACCTTGAAAACAATTAGGAGTTGTTTCTAAAAAATAGTCTTCGTATTACACCAAAAGAGCCCTGCAGGCTGACCATGGATAGAAACAGTACAAAAAAGCGCCTCATGGTAAAAAAAAAAAAGATTAGCGCCATCCGTGCCCATCGAACGACCGGCAGCCATTGGAAGAATTTGAAATCACAACAGAAACGAATAGAGGTCTTACTCTGGTGTCAGTTGAGTCCATTTTTGGATCAGTGAGAGCAAGGTTCAAACGAAACGGTTTTTTCCTTTTGACCGTGTTGAATTGCTGACGACACACATTAATACGAATCGTTAAGCAACCAATGACGCGGTTTAATATAAAACCTTTATAAAAACTGCCGATCGTCACTAAAAAGGTTACATTCACATTAGAAACGCAACATTAGTTATCTCATTTTGTTGAATAGACAGAAAAGCTCGATCTCTAAGACCTATTGTAACTATCGGAAAAAAATTTTTACCGTATTGCAAAAAGAATAAGAAGAAAAAAATGGCAAAGATAACGTCACTGCAGCAGTGAAAAACGACGAATGAGTTATTAGACAAAAAGGAGGAAGATATCCAGCTTTGACCTGTTTAGGTTAACCTTCTCACTGTAATTCTCACAGGGTGAAAGCATTTCATATTGAACAGTTTGATTCGAAAATTTATCACATGACACAGTATCACACATTGTGGGAATTCCAGTAGTTCTTCCATTCGATCCGGATCCATTATCCACGAAGAAACTTCGAATTTTTTTTTCTGGACTCAGCTGCTGCATAAGGAATTTTGGTCTTAATGAACGTCGATGAATGTTGCTCAAGACTTTTTTCTCTCAAACCTTAGTATACTCGTGCTACGACGTTCCATGGTCTTCATCACAGGTCTTTTTGGATCAGAGGAATGTTTTTGCAAAAAGTCCGGCACAAGTCTTCCAACATCAGAGTGATGGGATGCTCAATCTGCTCAGCGCGAAGTCTAGGTGGGGGCATTCCCGTTTAAATATATTAGCCGAATTACTAACCACCTTGGAATAATTGAATCGCGGAAAATGAAAGCTTGAGCTTTAAATGACAATAGTAAGTAATGAGAATTCTTTGTCAGAGCACTAAATCGGTGACTTTTAACCATTTTTGAAGCATGAAAATCAATACGCACACTTTGTGCAGTGTTGTAATTGTTATTATTTATCATTTCGACTGTACATGAATAAATAACGTTTAGTAATAAGCCAGACAATAGTTTGTTTTCACATTAATCAAAAGTTCTTACTGAGTTGATCATGACGGAGGGAACAGTTGCCTCGGTAATTCGCCCATGCGGTTGTAAAACACCGAGAATGGAGATCATTCGAGCAAAATGGATTATCGATCCGCTGATCATGATCTACCCATTAAGTGAAATGTGCATTTTTATTATAATTCAATTGCCTTTAATCAACTATCAGTTGTGTCAATACTATTATGCTCATGTTCTAGTTGTTATTAATATTTGAGGAATCAGAAGAAAATTGGAATAGGGAAGCCAGAAAGCATTGCGTCAGTTAAGACACTAAGGATTTTTTACCTGTTTTATTTACTGCCTGCTCTTTTTAATGGCAGGGTTTATTGCGAAATATAACTTCTATAATGCTGAAATATTTGCAAAACTCCCGATCGCAGGTGTATGCGGTGGGGAACGAACGCGCTATTGTCCTTTCCGGGGAGTTCTTTGCAGAGTTTTTCAAATATCTCGGCTTCACTAAACATTTCTTTTGTGAAACAAGTTAAGACATTTAACACTTCTTAGCCATTTACTGCAGAAAACCACACATTACAACTTTGTGATAGATTTCGACCCAGTTTCTCTTAAAGTTAAGTGGCCAACAAAGAGTTTAAACATAAACGGAAAGCGAACACATCGTTGCCGAAACTGATCAGTTAAGAAGAAAGTCTCCTTGTTTATCTTGACTCAGTTTGGTCTATATCCACTGTTCAGAGTAGAATCTTTGCTTCTACTAATTGTTCTTTTCGAATTGATTCGGAAAAAGCGTGATATTAATTGAATCACTCAGTTGGAAGCCGAGTAGGCGGAACGTGTTGCAAGAGCTTGGTGGTGGGACAGAACGGATCACTGGGGACATTACTGATGTTGATCGTACTAATAGAGGATTAACTCCAAGGATTCAGACTGAATCTGAAAACGTTAACGCTTAATAATTCGCAGAAAGTCTACTAAATAGTCGCCAAGGTCGGACAAAAAGAGAGTTTGCTGATACAGCACTGGTACTGATACAGCATCGCCTCGGCAACTCTATCAGCATATGCTACGGCTCTTTTCACGGTTTCCAGCTAACAGCCCCGTGCTTAAAAAGTTTCGCTGACTTACTTTATAGTACGTCTTCATAATGAATAAGCGTGGAAAATTAGCAGTTAGGATGGGAATGAGAGTTTACAAAAGATAAATTACTAGGTAAGTGATTATTATGTCGTTCGTTGATAAGTAGACGACGAACACCATCGATTTGTTTGTCGGTTTTTGAGTAATCTAGAAGACAAGCGTTAAAAACATGCCATCGTTTTTTGGTGAGTTGGTTAGATCTTGGTGAAAAATAAAGGCGAAGATGCCAACAAATTGCCCCGTCTCATAAATAAACACCTGCTACTGCAAGGTGTAACATATTGTTGGGATACGTGGGTGAAGTCGTTCAATAGTAAGTTCATGGAAACCGTCTCTAAAACAAATTACCGTAGTTAACGACGATGTTCGCTCTATGCACCCGAGACAAATAAAAACAGTTGGAAACACCTTAAAATCAGGTTTAGAATAAATTATGTTTGAACACTTGTGTGATCCGTGACGAGAAACTACACAGGGCCCGGTACGGGTTCGTTTCCCGCTCGATTCTCTTCTTTATTTCGCCGTTTATTAGGCTACTTCGTAGATAGTAAGTATAACGGAGCGAGTAGTGAATTGCATCCAGTTACGAGTGAGAATTACGCCCAGTCTAGCATCTCACAGGAGTAATTCCCAAGACCGACTTTCCATTCACCTCAGCATTGTTTAATGAGTCAGTGTTCAAATAAGACAAGACAATAAATTAGGACATTTCCCTACGTAGGACTCCGTGTGGCGGGTTCCCATCAAGTAATTGGAAGATTTATAAAGAACAAAACGCTTCTGAAAAAGGCGAAACTACCTAAGCGTCAGTCCGTATTGAATAAATCTTACTGTTGACAATCTCGTGCTTGCTCGAGAAGAAAACACTGTCTCATAGTACTCTACCTAGAGTACGTACCAATGCACTTAGAATCTATTCCAAGCGTTTCTCTCTTTTATCAGTCATCGACTGTCATCTCATCTCTCGGATGAGTTGCTGAGATCCATGAAAACTAATATATTTTCAAACAGGCGGGCGGAAAAAATAGTAGAGATATTTGTGGAACAAGGCTTAAAGAGTACAAATGGTACCAGTTTTACTAATTACACCATGTTTCCGAAAACAGCTCGGTTTTGTCGATTTTTTTTGTTTTTTTTCTCCTTTATTTATTTCTTCTATGTAGCCAATTCATAATGAAAACAGAATGAAGGAAAGCAGTAAGCTCTTCTTCTGCACGTTCATATTCATCCCTATCATTTCTTTCCTTACTCTCCTTTCACTGCGAAATGTTGCGTAGGAGAAAAAACAAGGAAGGGAAAAAAACATCTAAGCAAAATATTCTTAGAATTGTGTATTATTACCGATATTTCTCACTTACAACACCTTTATGCGTTGATTTTTTGGCAAGTAAATGTGATAACTTATGAATAGAAGTAACTCAGGCATTATAATTCAAAGATACTTCGTCCATTTGTTTCGGTACGGGATTACAGCACGTCGAAACTTTCTCGTCTCGCAACATCTTTTGTTCAGTGTGAAATCGATGGTGAATGGCTAGCCAACGATGGGAAAACACAAGTGTTTTCAATAAAACCCAATATATAAGACCTTAGCAAATGACATGATAAAAGAAATAGATGACTATTGATTGATCGGTTACAGTATGCCAAGCTTCCGTAGCTCTTCAGTTTGTCGATCAAGGACGTCCTGATTAGCTGCGATACGTTGCTGACGATCAGCGTCAAGTGTAGTAAACCTGAAACTTGTTACTTTAGAGTGCCCGCCCAAATTGCTATCTAACACCACACGGAGTAATTATCGTTATTCACAAAAATATTAGATAAACACTAATAATAGTAATCATTAGAATAAATGAAAAACCAAAGCAATAAAAAGGATAAAGCTGTCGGCGATGATCAATCCCTGAGAGATGCGCCATGCATGCGACCTCACTGAGTATCGTTGGAGGTGACTGAACGCCTATCTGGCCTTTACAATTACTCGCGGCGGCCAACCGATGTATCGAGCCAGAACTGCTATCCTCCTAGACAAGTTTGGAACCAATTTGCTGACCCCGGTGGGATGGAAGGCTTGGTCGATTCCACGTGTGTGTCGCAGTGGTATCTCCAACCACTGAGCCACACGCGTTCTAATGAAAAATTAAGTAGTAAAAATCTAGTAGAAAACCAATCAATTAAAAGTAAGCAATGAAAACATAACGTTAACAGGACTTGAGACACAATATTACGCTGCATATTGAAGCGTAACAAAGAATATACGATTGATTAGTCCCTGAGATATGACTCGTGCATTCCACTCCACTCCTGTAACGTAGAAGTGAGTGAATACATATGTAACCTCTATTGTGACTTTAAGGGCGGATATCACAGTGGTAGTAATGTAGATCGTCACNCCAATCAATTAAAAGTAAGCAATGAAAACATAACGTTAACAGGACATGAGACACAATATTACGCTGCATATTGAAGCGTAACAAAGAATATACGATTGATCAGTCCCTGAGATATGACTCCTGCATTCCACTCCACTCCTGTAACGTAGAAGTGACTGAATACATATGTAACCTCTATTGTGACTTTAAGGGCGGATATCACAGTGGTAGTAATGTAGATCGTCACGAGCATGGTGCTAGTTCGATCCCGCTCAGGACCAACCAAACCTCTCATCCATCCGGGGTCGGGAAATTGCTAAAGGACTTGTCCGGAAAAAACCACTCGTTGTTATCAATTTGGTAATATTCCCATCCGGCTCTCCCAGGACTCCAGCGAGAATCGCCTCGAGCAGCATTCTACGACAATGAAAATCACAATGATGTTGAGATATAACTTTAATGATGCTGAGATATTTGCAAAACTCCGGACCGCAGGNCCTCTCATCCATCCGGGGTCGGGAAATTGCTAAAGGACTTGTCCGGAAAAAAACCACTCGTTGTTATCAATTTGGTAATATTCCCATCCGGCTCTCCCAGGACTTCAGCGAGAATCGCCTCGAGCAGCATTCTACGACAATGAAAATCACAATGATGTTGAGATATAACTTTAACGATGCTGAGATATTTGCAAAACTCCGGACCGCAGGTGTCTGCGGTGGGGAACGAACGCGCTATTGTCTTTTCCGGGGAGTAACGCGTTCACCACCACACCATGCGGGTCCTTCCTTCCGCCTGTCTCTCAGCTAGTTCTATTGATCCTTTGCCATCAGCATTCACCCGCCAAAGTGATTGATCGGCGGAGTCCAAATCGGCATTGAATCCTGTTAAGCTGAGGCTGTAGCTGAAATCACTTGTTATGTTAAATGTTAAATTTTTATGCTCCGTTTTCCTGTTCAGCAATCGCAAGGTTGTTAAACAGCATACATTTACTTCCATAGAGAAACACAATACAATACAACATCGCTTTCATCAGGGCCTGGAAGGGCATACTGATTTACAATCTACTAGGCCAAACGCTTCAATAACACTTACAAAAAGACGAAAAACTCTATGGTAATTACATGATCAACAACTTCTCGAAGAACTCACCGCCTTTTGCGTGACTTCCAATGAGGAAGTTTAGAACAGCTGATTATAGTCGCATATGGTTGATGATTGCACCATGCCACATCATAAATTGATGCGAACATACGGGGCCGGGTCGCGTATGACCTCCGGGCATTCATCCCTGCCATTCATTGTAGGGTTTTGGCATTTATCCAAAAAGCTCAAGAACTTTTCGCGCTGGTGTTTCAGACTCCTGTGCAAGGATATTGACTTTTACTTTAAAACTGCCTCCGCTATGCTTTTGTATCCTATGCGTGCCTAGTGGGGTGCTTCGTCTTAGTTTTCGTTTGCCATCTAGGTGTTCCTTTATACGGATACATAAAGGTCTGCCCATTTCGTCAATATATTCATCTCCGCAATTATTACAAGAGATCAGGTATATCGTACCTGAGCTCACGCAATCACCGTCCCTGCCATAAGGACAAATTACGCAATTTGTTGTTTCACATGGACGGTCATACAGGCGGTTACGAACTAACTGACGACGTGGAGTAGCCGGCAGTATTTCAACTATCGCTACCGATTCCTCTAGAGCTGCCCTTCTTAAGCATCGTTTAATAGCTCCGCCTACTTCATCGTTAATAAAAGGCAACATAAACGAGACTTTCTTTTGGCCAAGTGTTTTGCGCGGGCGCGTCGCTCTCCTTCTAAACTTATCTCGTGGGGTTACTATTTCGTAGCCACTGGAGGTGGCTATTTGCCGAGCCAAGTCGCGCGACTCTTCCTTCAGTTCCCTGGTAGTGCGCACAGAGGTGGCTGTTTGAAACATGTTTCTCACAATCGCCTTCTTTGTGTGTGAGGGGTGGGAAGAAAGGAAATGAACAAGAATGTTCTTGTTACTTGGTTTTCGGTACCACTTTGTCAAGTAACCGCTACTTGATAGGTTTATTTGAGCATTTAAAAACGGAACGACTATAATCAGCTGTTCTAAACTTCCTCATTGGAAGTCACGCAAAAGGCGGTGAGTTTTTCGAGAAGTTGTTGATCATGTAATTACCATAGAGTTTTTCGTCTTTTTGTAAGTGTCATTGAAGCGTTTGGCCTAGTAGATTGTAAATCAGTATGTCCTTCCAGGCCCTGATGAAGGCGATGTTGTAATGTATTGTGTTTCTCTACGGAAGTAAACGTATACTGCTTAACAACCTCGCGATTGCTGAACAAAAAAACGAATTAACATAGAGTTGAAAAAAGCTGCCCTCTTTCAATTTCTCAGACTCTATAAAGACAGAGACGGTAAAAACGAAGGACCCGCATGGCGTCTTCGTGTGAACGCATTAGCGCCGAAAAGGGTAATAGCGCGTTCGTTCCCNTCAGTATGTCCTTCCAGGCCCTGATGAAGGCGATGTTGTAATGTATTGTGTTTCTCTACGGAAGTAAACGTATACTGCTTAACAACCTCGCGATTGCTGAACAAAAAAACGAATTAACATAGAGTTGAAAAAAGCTGCCTTCTTTCAATTTCTCAGAATCTATAAAGACAGAGACGGTAAAAACGAAGGACCCGCATGGCGTCTTCGTGTGAACGCATTAGCGCCGAAAAGGGTAATAGCGCGTTCGTTCCCTACCGCAGACACCTGCTGTCCGGCATTTGCGAATATCTCAACATCATTGTGGTTGCATTTCGCATCATACCTTGCCTTGAAAAATTATAGTAGGCAATAAACAAAAAAGTTAGCATTGTGAAATGAAAATCCTCAAGCAATAGCCGAATTCACATTTAAAAATTGGAAAATCCTCGTGGATAATGATCAAAAATAAAAACAAAAACAATCATGACTTTTGAAGGCCTATCGACGTGCTTTTATCCCTCCAGAAAACTTAGTACTAGTCTTCCGACCGCGAAGAAATATGAGGCTCGTTTTGCCGGTGCCGCCAGAACGGAACCAGTGAACTGGTATATCATCCCAACGGTCTAACGCCTCAACGTGGCTGGGAGATATTCTTGGGTGTCGCACTGCGNAACAATCATGACTTTTGAAGGCCTATCGACGTGCTTTTATCCCTCCAGAAAACTTAGTACTAGTATTCCGACCGCGAAGAAATATGAGGCTCGTTTTGCCGCTGCCGCCAGAACGGAACCAGTGAACTGGTATATCATCCCAACGGTCTAACGCCTCAACGTGGCTGGGAGATATTCTTGGGTGTCGCACTGCGATGTACAGCGGGGGATTCATACCCTAGCAGTGTCTCACAAGCTGAGAAGGAGTCCGGCGATTCCATCGGGAACCCAATCTAAGAGTAAACTAATACCAAGATCCACCACGCTCCTTGTATCAAACCAGTCGTGTAGTGGTAAATCTTCTGATCCACAATGGCGGCGTTCGCCTGTGGTGGTGTCAACCTGAGGCATACTTGGCTTGGCTGATCTCAGGATTCCAGAGGACAAAAATGGCTAAATCAACAAAACTCCAAAGAGATTGAGATCGCATAATTACTAAAAACGGGCCATCCAAGTAAGTAAGAAGATGTGTATTCAGTGCACTTCTAACCACTGCGCTATGAGCGTCTCATAAGATATTAAGTGTCGTGAAAAATGAAAAATAAGGAAGATAAGGTAAAAAATAAATCATACCTGTACTCAGTCGGTGGCCGAAGCTGTTGTATTGATGATGGCTGCGATGACAGTAAAGTAGATGACGTTTCCGATTCTGGACTCGACTTTACGCGTTGTTCAACGTCTTTCGTCTTTTTCAAGGCATTCCGTTTATCCAGGTATAATCTGCTCCACACATCATGACAAACCTTAAATGTTGAAGAATAGTCAATGTAGATGTTCGAAAAGAGACTGCAGCATCCAAGCAGCTCTCTGTGCGTTCAACACTTTTGTTAGTGTCCATTCGACCCCTAAATCACTGCGACGAAGCTCGAGCGCTAGTATTTTTAACGCCGTTTGTTGCTAGAGAAATGATATTAGATTGCCATTTCCGAATAATAAATTTCTCATTCTCATTGTAACTAGCAAAATTGTTGACGAGGATGACAGCGAGGAAATTTCAGTACTAATCCAGTGAGCAGGAAAAGATTTCTTCCTTTGTTCTTCATCGCGTTCTCTCGCTTTCTAAAATTTCATCTCTTTCGTAAACTTTGGGGACGAGTTATCTCCACCTTTTCCCTTTCTATGAGAATGAAAATGAGGTTATTACCCTTTAATGAAACTTCTCACCTTATCTTCAGCACTATGGCTTCGTTGAGTAACAGATTTCGGTAATGAAGGTAATTTTCTTTCGATGATCGGCGTTTTTACGCTGTCAGTACGTTTAGGAATACGAGATACGCGTGCTTCAGTGAATTCTGGTGGTCCCGACGCTGACTCGGAAACTCGTCCAGGCAAAGCCGATGGCTACAAAGTTTTACTTATTTACCATTTTCCCATGCATTCGAAGAAGAAATCACAGGTTACGCTACGTTTTCCGTTTACTAAAAAGCAAGTAAGCTGTTATTTTTGACTTTTCGCTCATAACTTTACGATATACGCCAAGTTCTTATAGTCCAAATTTTTCTTCATAAATAAAACTTGTTTCCAAGCTAGACAAAAAATCGCAAACATAAATATAATAGGACGGACAACGGCTAAAGCGTTTTTGAGATCTGTAGGTTCCTTTTTAAGAAATCTCAAAAAATTTTAATGTAATAGTTGGAAAATCTTAATTCATTAAAAAAAGGGTAAAGATCTCGGCATTGTTCAATCCCTTAGCGATGCGCTACGAAATTGACTTCATTAAGCATCGTCTGGAGGTGATTGAATGCATATCTGGCCTTTACCTCGCGGTGGCCTACCGATGTATCGAGCTAGTGCTGCTAACCTCCCAGACAAGTCTGGTACCAATTTTCCGATCCCGGAGGGATGGAAGGCTTTGTGGGCCACGGGCGCCGGGACCGATCCCATGTGCATGTGCAGGGCTCCTCCAACCACTGCATAATTAATTTGGGACTATAATTTCCAAAAGAATTGCTGTGGAGAAAAGCTAAATTTTGAAAATTTCCAATGTAAACACGAAAACCACGAACATCATCTCGGCATTGTTCAATCCCTTAGCGATGCGCTACGAAATTGACTTCATTAAGCATCGTCTGGA